CTTGTTCTTTGCTACAGGTACAATTCCTTCCAAACATCGTACCTCAAGAAAGAGATCAACCGAAGCGTTGCGATTATTTCGGAAACTACTGGGGGCGGCAGCGGAGAAGGCGTCAGTGACGGAGTCAGAGCCGCCGCTAGCGGTGAAGGCGGCGGTGTTTCCCTCAGCAGTGGCAGAGATGGTGGCGGAGCCAGTAGTATAGCCAGCGGCAGAGGCTGCGGAGCAGCCGACAGCAGCGACGGAGCCGGGGCCATCATCAACAACGGTGGCGTAGCCGACAACAATTCTGGCGCCATCTTCGGTGGTAATGGCTGTGCCGTCGCCGTCGGCATCGGAAAGAAGGCTAAGGCCGGCGGAGAGAAGCCAAAGGAGTCGGAAGGCGTTTGCGTTGGTGAAAAGAAAGAGGAGGCAGGCGGCAGTGGCGAGAAGAAGAAGGAGAAGGCGAGTGGTGGGGTTGGTGCATGAGAAGAAAGATGAGAGCGACTCCGGCTCCGAGAAGGAGGAGTGTGGTAGCGTTGGCGAGATAAAAGAGAAGGGAGGTGCCACCAGCGAGAAAAAGGAGAGGGTGGGATTTGTCGGTAGTGAGAAGAAAGACGAGGGAGGCGCTGACGGCGAGAAGAAAAAGGAGAAGGGTGGTGGTAGAGGTGAGATGAAAGAAGTGGGAGGTGAAGGTGGTGTCGCCAATGGCAGAAACAGTTCATTCACCGGGAGCGGCGGCGGTGGAAACAAATTCGGAGGTGGAGGTGGAGGTCGAGGTGGAGGAGGAGGCGGTGGCGTAACCCGACGTAACAGCAGTGCACTCTCCGGCGGGAGCGGCAGTATTGGTCACAGAGCCAGCGGTGTAGTTGTAGGAGGCGGCGGCTACAAGACGAATGAGGAGGAGGAAGAGAGCGATGATGAGGACGAGGAGGGAGGCAGCGACGAAGAGAAGAACAAGGAGAAGGAGGGAAGTGGCGGTGGTGAGAAGAAACACGTAGGAGGCGGTGGGGAGAAGAAGAAGGAGAGTAGCAGGCTTTGCGGCGGTGGTGAGAAGAAAGACGAGGGTGTCGCCGGCGGCGAGAAAAAGAAAGCGAGGATGGGCGGTGGAGATGGTGAGAAGAAAGAGGAGACCGGCGGCGAGAAGAAGAGAGTGGGTCGTGGCGATGGTGAGATGGAAGAAGAGGAATGTGCCGGCGGCGAGAAGAAGAAGGATGGCGGTGGCGGTGGTGAGAAGAAAAAAGAGGGAAGCGGCAGCGGCGAGAAGAAGGAGAAGTGGGGCGGTGGCGGCGAAGAAGGCAGAGGAAAGAAAGAAGAGGCAGCGAAGGTGTTGGCAAAGAAGACGTTGGCTCCGCCGGTTGTGGTGGAGACGAATAAGATGGGTCTCCGCCGGTTAGAGGCAAAGAAGACGCACTGATGTTCTCATGCATTTATAATAGATTAGCAGGTTTAATTAAGAAAGTTACTCACTTAGAGGGGAGATTTCACTCTACTTTCTTTGGTTGTTCTATTTTTTTTTTTTTTTAAGTAAGAGGCATTACTTTCATCAGCTTTTTGGTTGAGGAATGCTTTTTCTTTTAATTATTTGAATATGAATGTTGAGTGCTGAACTGCTGATATAAAAAAGAAAATTTTCAAAATCTATAAAGAGGTCTATCTTTTAATTTCTTGAAATATTTAGGATATATTTTTTCCTATGACGAACAAGAGAAGTCCATTTTGCTAAATTTCAAAAAAATCATACAATCGTCTATTATATTAAATAGAAAAAATATAAAAAGTCAAAACATTAAGAAAAATTGCACTCTGTCATGTTAAATGACTTTTTCTATGGTTCTCCAACTCATCAACATGAATGCAAACTTTATATTTATTATGAAAAAAGATGAGGAAGGAAGAAGAAACTCTTCGTGCATGTTTCATTGAAGATGGTCTTGCCTGATCATCGGCAACTTCTTACCGGCGGTACCATTCATAAGAATGAAAAATTCAGATCAGATGCTGCGGATCAAACGTCTGTTAGACCTCGTACCAATCTGGTAATTCGAGAAGGGGATGGACCTCCGATGTGAAAAGATTCCTCTGTTAAAGGAAAAGGAAAAAGTCTGATGAAGATATCAAATTCAAGACCTCACTCATTGGTGAGTTTAGGTAATGATGCGTCTTCCTCTCTTCAGAACTGATCCTGAAGGTTAACAAGTTTGTGGGAGTCCAAGAAGATAACGATCAGAATCATGTGAGCAGAAATTTGTCTATCAATTTTGAAAATGATGTTGACATCAATGAGGTTATTCCAGAAAAGAAAGAAGATCCTGTATCCAAAGACAATTTTGTCTCTGCGTGGAAGAAGACTCAACATATTAAATTGAATTATAATATGGAAACTACTCAGATGACTGAGGATGGGCTTGCGGTAAAGTTAAATCATGATCTAGAATCTACCAATGCACAAATCTTGAAGAAGTCTCTTGTGATTAAAAGTTCTAGGGAAAGATATCCCTTTTTCTGTTTTTAGTCTGGAACTCCGAAGACAATGGAGTAAATTTGGGAAATTCCATTTAACAACTCTTGGGCTTGATTGGATTCTATGTTCCTTCAACAACATTGAATCAATGGAGGAAGTTCTGAGCGGTGGACCTTGGTATATTTGCAACCATATTATCGGCATGGATAAATGGTCTACATCTTTCTCCCCGGAATCACTAAAAGGTATCACTTCGCCTGTATGGATTCGATTTTCTTTTTTTACCTCTAAGCTGTTGGGATGAGGAGAACATCTCTAGAATTGCTTCAATGATTGGAGTACCATTGTTTCTTGATGGAAATTCTTTCAAATGGGGGAAAAGAGAATATGCACAGGTTTGTGTCCGTATCAATCTTGAGAACAAGTTACCTAAGGGAGTCTGGATTGAAGGAATTCAATGAAGACTATATCAAAAAGTTGAATATCAGAAGATGACTTCTCTGTGTTATCATTGTGGAAGAGTAGGACATAGCAAGTCTCTTTGTCCTGATATCAAGCCCATTCAAAATCAGGAACATGTTGCTACTTTTAACCAAGTGAAGATAGCTGATAACAATGTTGCTGAAGAAGTCCCAAAGCTTCATAGTGATGATGAATATGGACCCTGGATTCATGCAAAATTTAGAAATAGAAGATTCAGAAATTTTAAGAAAAATGAAGAGACCACAGTTCGGAAGAAACAGGAATTCAAACCTGTTGTTAGTGCCGTTCAAAAAAAAAGACTGAAAGAATGCAAGAGAATCAAATTGATAATGGAAGTTCTGAAAAGCTGCAGGACATCTCTGTAAATCAATTTGAATACAGGAGGTTGGGTGATGTAGAGCTTATAAAGGAACACAAAGCTGCTAATATTTGTGTTAATAATAAATTTCATATCCTGAGGGATGAGCATGAAGAGGGAGAAGTTGTTGAAACAGACTTATACAGAGTTGAAGACTTATGAAACTATTATTGTTTCAAAAAAAAATTCAGCCAAGCAGTTCTGAGATATTACTGGATATAGGAGATTAAATTACAAATTCTTGTAAAAACAAACTGGCAAAGGAAGTGAAATCCTTAGGTCCAGTTGAACCTACCCATAGGAAGAGAAGAGGGGAAAGTAAAGGTGGTAAGAAAGTTGGGGAATCTTCCCCTCCTGGTTATTAATGTCTCCTTTCATTTTTTGGAATTATAGGAGGGGGGGGGGGGGGGGGGGGGGGGGGGGGGGGGGGGGTTGCAAAAAATGGGAGGCCTCTCTATATCTTAAGGAGATCGTGAAGGATAATGGTGGGTTTTTTATTGGTCTAACTTAGACTAAAATGTCTAGCATTGATATAAGAGATGTTAATCTTCTTATTGGTAGTAATTGGGAGTTTGTTCATCATCCCGCTAAAGGAACTTCGGGTGGTATATTGGTTTTATGGGATAAAAATGTTGTATCATTTGAAGTAATTGAACATTCTTCTCAAGTAGTTATGGGTGTTCTTAATAGCACGTTATTGGGCACATGGAATGTGGCAACGGTCTATGGAGGTAGAGATCTGTACATAAGAAGAACTATGTGGGATACCCTTAAAAAATGTTTACCTTGTGATGTACCTTCAATTATTGGAGGTGATTTTAATTGCATTCTTTGCAAGGATGATAAAAGGGGAGGCAAGAGGTTTCATTTCTCTAAGGGACCTAAGGAGATGAAGCTTTTTATGATAAATAATGATTTTCATGAAATTGCTTTTGTTGGACCAAGATTCACTTGGTGTAATAACAAAGAAGGTGCAGCTAGAATCTGGGAGAGATTAGATAGATGCTTGATGAAATCTGTAGCCTTGCAAAGAACCCCTATGGCAATGGTTTGACATTTACCAAGGGTAGCTTCGGACCACAGTCCTATTTCATGTAAGGTGTTGGAGCCTCCAAATAAACAATCTAAAATTATTAGATTTGAAGATACATGGAAATCGTATCTTGCAGCTTGGAAAATTGTATTGAAGGCTTGGAAGAGAACAAATTTTGGTAATAATGTTGAAATACTTCAAAGAAAATTAAGAAGAACACTAAAGTCTATATATTTCTGGAACAAGAATAAATGTAGAGAGTTAAATACTCTGAAGGAAGAATTATAGAACGAGATATTGAATCTTCAATTGGAGGAATCTACATATTCTGGGCTTACGGTGGAGAAGCTAAATTTGCTTAGAACTAAAGTTCATGAACTCAATGTCACGTTGGGGAGATTATTTTCTTGGTGGAATAAAAGAGCCAAAGCTAGATGGCATGAGGAAGGTGACTTTAACTCAATTTTCTTTCATAATTTTGCTTTTGCAAAGGAAAATGGAAATCTTATTAGACAAATCAAAGATGAAAACAATAATCTTTTGGAGGATTTTGATCACATGAAAGCAGGTTTTTATGATTTTTTTGTAAAAAACATGGAAGGCTAGAGACTACAATTTAACGGGATGGCCAGTTGTTCCACAAAACCAGAGAATCTCGCAAGAAGAAGTTGATCTTATTATGTAGATTTTACTAAAGATGAGCTCATTAAGGCTGTTTTTAAAAAAGGGAATAATAAATCTCCTGGACTAGACGGTATTACCGCATCCTTTTTAAAATTTTATTGGAGAATTGTGGAAGGTGAAACATGGAAAGCCGTTGACAGCTTTTTCAAAACTTGTAATATGCATGCTGAATGGAGAGATACACTAATTGTCCTAATCCCCAAGAAAAAAATCTCTTAGTTCCAGAAAATTATAGGCCTACAAGTTTGTGTCAAACTACTTATAAGCTTGTGGCAACTAAGATCATGAATATATTGAAATGTTGCATCAATAAAATTATCTCAGAAGAACATGTTGCATTCATTCCTGTAAGATCGATGTCAAATCACTGCTTATTAGCTCATGAGGTCTTTAATAAATTCAGGACCTCTAAAAACAAAAAAGGAATGATGGTGGTTACGCTTGACATGGAACAAGCTTATGATATCATGTGTTAGGAGACTTTGAATCAAGTCTTACAATTGTTTGGATTCCCTTTAAAAATCTCTTCACTTATTATGGAGTGTGTTAGAGATGTCATATTTTCATTTCTGCTAAATGGTAAAGTGTCTAATTGGATTAAGGCTGAAAATGGGTTTCGTCAAGGATGTCCTCTATCTCCTTATTCATTATGTGTTCTCAGTTTTTCTCAAATGCAATTGAACAAAGAGGGCAAGATTTGGGCATTCAAATATCACCAAGAGCTACAAAGGTTACTCATTTATTATATGCCGATGATGTTTAGATTTTTTCTCAATCTTCAAAAAAGCTAGCCAAAGTGTTGAAGAAAATTATTGCTGATTTTTGTTCTTGGACGGGATTAAAGGTGAATATTTCTAAATCCCAAATTCTTTTTAGCATTGCTACTAACCGTTCCAACATGAATCAAGTCAGACAGATTTTGGGTTACAAAGTAATTAAGGAGATGCACTATCTAGGTGTAAAGATGGATTTGAGAAGATTGGTAAAATTTGACTTTCATGATTTGTTAGACAATGTTTTACAAAAACTGAACACTTGGGGTAGCAAAACTCTCTCTTTGGCTGATAAGATTACTCTTGCTAAGTCTTCTCTTTTATCAACTCCAAATTTTTTATCAACTCATTCCATTGTTCCAAAGAAAGTTCTCTATGAAGTGGATAAATGTTGCAAAGATTTTGTATGGCATAAAAGCAATGGTAAAAGAGGAATGCATTATGTGTCATGGGAAGAACTGTGTAAATCGAGAGATGCTGGTGGTCTGAACTTTCACTCAGCAATTCGTAGATCTGGGCCTCTTAAGTCTAGACTATCCTGTTGTTTTATACAAAAAGCTGATTCTTTACTTCACAGAGTCTTTATTGCCAAATATGGTAGTAATATTTTTGATGTTGATAA